TAGCTGTAATGAACATTTGCACATCTCCATCCATGCTGAGATCCACAAAAGCCAAACTGGGAGCCTTAACACCCATCAATATGAGGATGTGCCTTCACATAGATCATTGGTTACAATTCTATGCATACTTATCCAAACAAGTCTTCAGTTATGGAAATATGTGTGACTCAAACAGAACATTAAGCGAGGTCCAGATCTGATCTTTCCATTTGTCCTACTTTTTGGCATTGTTTTTCTTCCAAAAATTCATTAAGGAGTGAAAGATGAAATAACTGCACAATAACTTTTGACTGGAAGTGCTGGAAATTTCCATTTGGAAGCACTCTAAGAACAGTTGGATTCAAGAGAGTTTATTTCTGAGTACAAATGAAAGAAATTGCCAGTCCACTGAGTTATTCTCCCACTCAGAAATGACACTTGGAAGCTTTTAAAAAATGTTAAGGGAGAAGGAATTTGAAGCATTGCAGCCCCAAAGTGAGATATTGAGAAATATCTACAAAATTACTCTTAGGATTAATGAGAAGAGAAAATTAACTTCACCCAATTTACAGTTATTCCCAATCACAGATATTCCCAATCATAGATACTCCTTAATCACTTTATTATTTTTATTTTAAGTAGAAGTAGATAGTCCCAGTCACTTTAGATATTCCAAATCACAACTATTCCCAGTCACAGAAATTTGTCAATTCATTAATTTCATTTTGAGCAGAAACTGAACCCAGGCCATGTCCAAATTCCATTGTAAGATCTCACTCCCCCATTCTGAAGTTAGACTTTTTGCACACTGCATCTAAATTAGTCTGCATCTGAATGTGGAAGCAAAAATTCAAATTTACTTTAGAAAAAAATATAAAATTGTAAAGTCTGCATGTTCAAGGAGGAAACAAGAAATATGCAAATAAATACTGTGACAATGACGGATGAAATGAAGAATTACAAGAGAGGGTGTATCCAGAACAACACTCTAACAAGCAGAAATTCAGCCCCTGAAGTTCTCCCCATTACTGGATCTCTGTGCTGGGAAAAGCTGTCACTGCAAAATTTCTGTTTCTCATACAGCTGTTAAAGGCACGTGAAAGTGGCAACTGTCCAGAGCAGCAAATCTAGCTCTTAGTGGATTCACAGTGACTTTTTTTTTTAAAAAAAAAATAGAAACAATAATATATGGACCATTTATAGTGATTCTTCACAGCACTGTTTTCCTAAATTAGCTAGCAACCTGTTCCCTCTGGCTTATCTGCAGCCAACCAGATGTGATGCATCATGCAGAATCATACTCCAGGATGTAGTCATGAATGTTTGTGGATCATTCCACATAACATATTCTTAGGTATATATTTCTATACATCTACACTTGTCAAGCATGAAGGCACCAAATGCTTTTCTTACAGTGATATTTTGGCAGGGACCTGGTCTTTCTTGTAGCCTCTGGTCAAATACATTCACCTCTTCATGGCATTTCACTCCCACTCTACGGTAAGGCATCAAAGCTGCATGCATAGTCAATAATTGCTATCCTATTTTATCCTCACAGCCACCTTGTAAGCTATGTTTGTTAGTTTGAAAGAGAGTGCTTGGCCCAAGCTCACCCAATGAGCTTCATGACCATGTGGTTACATAGGTTTGGTTTCTCTTGTCCTCCACATTCTAACCACTGTTGCATCAGTTTTTACTGATTCTTTAAATCCTCAGTTGCAAAACAAAGGTAACCTCCATAAGATGTGAAATGACTTTCAATAGCCCTGGATTTTTTCTCAGTTCTCAAATTAAGCTTTGACCCTGAACTGTTACCTTCCTCTTTCCATTTGTGTCCAGTAGGTGGCGGTAGTAGTCTAACTCTTAGGAACAACTCACCTTTCAACACCTCACATGCTCCAAACTTCATTTCTGTTTTTCAAACATAGGATGTACTCATAAAAGAGAACCTTTAAACAATAGGGAGGGACGTGTTAACAGTTTAAAGCTGGAGGCTATAATCTTACACACATTTATTAAGGAGTATGCCTTTCTGAACATGGCAAGAGTAGATGCGTGGGTTAGTGTTATTTAGGAATGCTTGTAACTAAAGATTTCCAATTATGGTTTTCAGCAGCCTGGAGGAAGGGATAAACAGAAGCGGTGTGGTGCTTAAAGAAGGAAAACTGTGCAAAAATCCTTAATTCTAAAAGGAAAGGTTAGGGGAAATATATGAAAATCTAAGGATTTTAAGTTAAAATTTAGTAAAACTGTTTCATGTTTGCCTGAGTGATGATAGGATTGTTGGGGAGAGTCAGTGTCTCATTTGCCTTAATGGACCAGGATCCATGGGTGCATCTTCCAGATTGTATTCCTGAAAATAATTCCTGAACACTAAACACGTGTGTAGCATCAGCTATAAAAAAACACAGAGATATAAATTGTGTCTTGTACCTTCAAAATGTACTGGAATCAAACTGATTTTGAATGTGTGTGGAGCCCACCAGCTCCATCCATGTCTGCTCAGAAGGAAGCCTTATCGAACTCAACTGGATTTGTTCCAGTTGCAGTCTAAAAAACTAATATGTCTGTCAAGTATTTTAGATTCCCCATTGATCTACTGGCCATAATGTCATAACTGGGTCCCTTTGCCAGAACAAGTCTGAGGGGGGGTTGCAGACTGCCAGAAATAGTGCAAATTGAGTCCACTTTTAGGGTTAGGGTTAGGGAATCATGGGAACTGTATTTTATTGTGGCACCAGACATTGAGAGAAAGCTCAATGTCTTAGAAAAAAAAAACAATTCCCTTGATTCCCTAGCACCATCCCCACATCTTAATATATATATGGCATTCCCATTGGAAACAGTATCATAAGATGGTGCACTCTGTGCATATTCAGGGACACATTATGGTCCCCTCCATCTCTATTTAAAGACTTCCAAAGAAGGAGACTCTTCCACACTCCAAGGCAGAGTGTTTTCCACTGTTGAACAGCTCTTGCCATCAGGACGTTAGGTGGAACCTCTTTTCCTGTAGCTTGACTCCATTGCTCCGCGTCCTAGTCTCTGGAGCAGCAGAAAACAAGCTTGCTCTTTCTTCAATATGATAGCCTTTCAAATATTTAAACAGGGATATTAACCTTCTCTTCCCCAGGTTTGTTGAGTGTTTTCAACCTACAGATGTTTCAAGAGGCAATGTGGTGTAATGGCTTGAAGGTTAGACTATGACTTTGGAGACCAGGGTTTGAATCCCAGCTCTGCCATGCAAACTCACAGGGTGACCTTGGGCAAGTCACACACTCTCAGCCTAAGAGGGAGGCAACCCCGCCCCCCAACCCCCTGAACAAATCTTTGCCAGTAAAAACCCCATCAGTCGGAAATGCCTTGAAGGCACACGGCCACAACAGAAGCTTCTGACTTAGTAAGGGCTTGGGGGAACCTGTTGTCCAAAACCTCTGGAGGGCCAGAAGTTCCTGTCCTGCATGTTATAGTTTTAAGATCCTTCTGGGCCTGATTCCGGAGCTTGACCGGGAAACCCACCGGGTGGCCAACCACAGCTCCCTTCTTCTCTGTGGGTTGAGCGTGAGAGGGAGGTGGGTATAGGGCCTAGTGGTTTGAGCACTGCACAAAGAACCCAGTTCGACACCAAATCAAATCAAATCATTTTATTACAGCCATTAGGCCAGTAAACCAGTTCGACACCGCTTTTCCCTGCCATGGCTCCTTGCTATGTATGAAATTCTGGAAACTGTAGTTTGTG